GTTGCTCTCTTTTCCAGAGACTATTATGCGTGAAAGTCATGCGTTGGAGCAAAGGCTCAAAAGAAGTCGTTATGCAGCTATAATGGCCGATCGAGTTTTGTTTAGTCGAGTGTTTGCGCAGTCACTTGTCACGAAACCAACAAAGAAAAAGAAGAAGAAGAAGAAGAGATATGTTTCTGCGGTGAATAGTGTTCGTTCGAGGGAGAATGCAACCTTAGAATGCAGTCAAGAATCATCCGGTCATTCTGCTTCAATGTCATTCACTCATCACAATCCATCGAACTCGAGCGTTTCTGCAATCCAAAACTGCAATTCAACGAATACAACATCTATTGAACTAAACAAACAACAGCAGTCATTAACAGAATCGTCGAGCAATATTACCCGATTACGATCAAATATTCAACAGTCTTCGTCATCATCATTAGCGCAGAGTTCTGCTGATAACGAGTCGAATGCCGATAACGTTAATCAAATTCACGATAGAACGTCTGATGAGTTATCGGTGACGTCGTCCTCGACTACACCACTCACAACGACACCCTCTGATAAGCATTCATCGGGTGCACATAGTTGCGATGATGCCACTGAAAATGATCTGGATCTGTCACTTTATGGACGAGGAAAACGGGTTTCGAAACCGAAACGAATCGATGATCTTGACGAGATGGAAGCGATTAACGTTGTAAAGAAAACGGTGAGAAAGCGTGGAAGGCCACCGAAAGATGGAATCCGTTATGTGGATAAATCTGAGAAGCAAAAATGCGAAGAGAATGGCTACCTAAACGTTAGAGAGAGTGGAAAAAAGTTCGACGGGAACAATCAATCGAATATTCCATTCAAAAAACGAAAATTTAGAACGGATTCAAGTGCTGAAATTGCTGTGAATGCTGAAAAGTGTGTTGAAAAGAAGAAACCATTAATTGATGATAGTGATAAACGATGTGATGAACAAAATAAATGTGAAATTGTCGAGGAAGACAACCGAATGCCATCAACATCTGATCAACAATCGGTGCCTGCTTCGTTGAATATGGAAGAAAATCAAACAAATGAAGGTAAATTTCGGAAATTATTTGTTGAACTGCGAAAAAATA